TTTATTAGATTAAAATGTATTAAGCTCTTAATTTAAGTCAAAAATTTCTCGGAACCTGATTTTTCTAGAAACCCTCCTATATGAAAAATTGAAAATAAAGATGAAGACATAATTATAGTTTTTATCATATATATGGTCACATTCGCAATCATGTTTGTATTTATAAAATTCATATAAAATAAATAATAAAGTTAAAAATACATATTAAATTGAATAACTTTCTCTAGTAGATACTAGAGATCTTCTTAAAAAGTTTGCGTTATTATTTATTTTTCTTTGAATGATTTGTAGAATGTACCAAATGAATTATCCTTAATTGCAATAATATTAGATTCTAGAATAAAAAATTTTCCATTTGCAAAAGATTCTGATTGTGAAGAACAAAAAAAGTTAGCTAAAGATCTTTTAAAAGATTTATATATTCAATTGAAGAGATTCAAAAAATATTATCTATCTTGAATAAAGAAGATGATGATATATTTGCAAATATGTAGAGTAGTGATCAATGATCAACATCAGTAAAAAATAATAAGATTTTGTATTACTTGAATTGTCTTAATAAACTAAAAATTACAGATCCTTTAGTATGGTAATGGGATCATATAACAAGTTATCCTATTTTATTCAAATTAGCTCAAAAGTATCTTTCAATTCCTGCTACATTTATATCTAGTGAACATCTCTTTTCTGATGCAGGTAATTATATTTCTTTAAAAAGAATATGATTATTTCTAGGATTAGTAAATTATATATTATTTTTAAAACGTAATAGTGCTTATTTTAATATTTTTCCTCTTTTAGAATCTAATTAGTTTAATAAAATAATGGAATTTCTTAGCATTTATGTATATAAACAATTTATATAATTTAATAAAATAGTTTAAATATAAATTCTTTTAATAATTATATATTTTAAAATACTTAAATGTTAGACTTTGTTAATTTTACAAAAAAAGTTTTATAATCAAAATATTTTCTAAAATTGAATTTTTTGTAGATTTCTATAATTACGAATTTAATTTTTATATTCAAATGAAATAAAGGAACTAGATTTATTATATATAAATAAAACGAAAAAACTGAATTTATTATATTCAGATAAAACGAAGGAACTGAATTTATTATATCTGAATAAAATAAAGAAACTGGATTTATTATATCTAGATATAATATAAATTCAAATTGAAAGAAATCAGATTTATATTCGAATGCTAAATATTAGTTCTAAATTCTAATTGGATTTATCATATTGAGATCTATTAAATAGTAGTATTTTTATATTTCTGAGATTTATAGATAGTAAGATATATAAGTTTAAAATTTTAATTTTTTTTATAATAATTTATTATTTATTTATCTTTAAAAATAATAGTTAATTACATTTTTTTTAAATTTTTACTAGAAAACATCATAAAATTTATTATAAAAGTATTAATTTTTTAATAATATATTTTAAAATATTTAAATAATTAAAAATGATTGTAATTAATAAATAAAATTATTATTCATAACTAAAATATCTATAGTTTTTAGTGAAAATAATGATAATTATACTTAAATTGGATATTAAAATTCTTAATTAAAAGATAAGTTTAAAAATAAAGTTTGTTATTTATTTATATTTTGATATTTATTTACTTTTACTAATAAAAAAAAACAAAATTTATTAATATTAATTATTATTATATTTAAAAATCAAATATAAATTTTTTATTATATCTGTAAATTTTTTAAGAATTTAAAAAATTTTTTTATATTAAATTTTCAAATTAGATAATATTTTTTTAAAAATATATAATTAAAATTCAAAAAAAAATATATGTAAAAATAAAATTTAGTAATACTAATTTTTTAAAAAAGTAGTATATTATTATTAAATTAATAAAATTAAATTTAAATATTATTTTATATATAAATTTTTGATTTCATATTTTTGATTAAGTTTTGAATAAATAAGAGAATTGATTTTCCATAAATTTTATTATAATAATTGGTAATAAAATATTATATATAATAATTATTCTATGTATCATTTGATTTTGTAATAGGTAACCAAGCTTCTTCAGGTATACTTTTTGCCCATTCTTAAAATGTATAATTAATATAATAAATATTTAATTTTAAATAAAAATATAACAATAAAGAGAATATTTCTATTTACCAGGTATAGCAGAATCAGGTAATTTAATATTTTTCATAATTGAATTAATTATAGTTAAATCATCTATAATAAAATTATATTTATTAATAAAAAATAAAAAATAAAAATAAAAATAGGTTAAAATCATCTGACCATTTTGTTCTTACCTTCTGGAATCTTTTCTTGTTCAGTTGTATGAATTTGTAATATTTTCGGTTGTAAATTATCTTCCTATAAATTAAATATTAAAGTTTTTATAAAAGAACTTTGTTTGAAAGTTAATAAATATTACCTGTTGAGGTGAATCATAAACCTCATCGTTCTCTTCATGCATATCATCATCATCTTGTGATAAAACTTCATATCCAAATGGTTCATCTAAGTTTTCTTCACTATCGCTATTCATCTCTTCATTAGAAATACTTTGATTAATCAAATTATCATCATTATTTTCTTCATTAATTGGAATAAATTCATTTGATTTTATAGGTTGTGCTTGCGTTAAATACGTCATATTATAATGATGTTCGGTTTCGGTTTCAGAACAAAAAATTTTTTCCTCAAAAAAATTTATGGTCAATCATTTGAATCACGTGAAATATATTTGCAATTATCATGAACTTTATAGTTTTTACGGTCCGGTCTTATACATACAATTTTGCATATTTATTTATTATTATTACTAAAATCGATGTTAAGATATTATTAGGTTAGCCCTTTAACTAGTTTTCCAATTCATTAATATTATTCAACAATGCTTTTCCATGTTCGACAAAATCGACTGGAATAACCTCCGTAACATGATATTTGATAATATTTTTTTCCTGCATAATATATATAGATAGAATCATTTAATTCTTCAAAATTGTCTTCAATAAAATAAATAGCTAGATATCAACAAAAATTACCTGATAATTCTCCATTTTTGCACGACATTTGAATATATAGGTTTTGAAAAATCGAGAATCAATCCAATCTTCAAAAAAGGATTCATCATTTTCCTATATATGATTTCAAACTTTAATTATAAAATGTTATTTCGAATTATCACCATTCAAATAGTATTATTACCTTTATATTATTTAATTCGTTGGCGTCTTTACCCATGATTATGCTTCCTGTCTCATTGAAACAATGAAACCACATACCATCGGTATGGTCAGATACATTTATTCCGAATATGTATCTATCCCAACGAGAATATTTTTTTGAGCAAAGATTATATAGAACGTGAAAAAAAAATAACAATGTCTAATATATTATACCTGTATTTGACGTGATCAAATGAACGCGAACATTTCTCGCACCGATAAGAATTTTCTCCATCTTCAATAACTTTTTTATTACAGCCATCGGTAGGACATGCAGCATAGAACATACTTTCTTTTTTGATAAATACAATTGTTCCTCTTGTAACGAAATATTCAGCCTTTATAAATTAAGTAACATCAAAAAGTTTTGATTAGAGGGCATTTTAATTTAAAAATAAATAAATAAATATACCTTTTCGCTATTATGTCCAATGTTCTCATTAACAATTTGTGCAATTGTCTTTTCAGGGTCGTTTCGAAAATTTGAAGACCCAGAATACGAATTACTTGCAAAGACACTTGTCTCTCTTTCTAATCCTCCCTTTTTCACCCTGAAAAATAAGAGATATTTACATAAATATATTATAAATGAATATTAATATATAATTATTATTATCATTTTACCATTCACGTATAGGATAAGTCTGTGGTATATCAGGATCAATCATTAATCTACTGACACCATACATAGAAAGGTTTTTCCCTAACAAAAGAAATAAATAATTAGAATTATTTATGTAACTTAATGAACAACATTCGATATTCTAAAATTAACGTTAACCTTGAAAATCGCCAACACGCGCATTTTTACAGATAACAATAGTGCCCAGTTCTACATCTCTAAGTTCATTAACTTGTTGTCCCCAAGTAGTTAACCTAATCTCATACCCACTGTCATCTACTATAATAATATCCCTTTTATCTATCTACGAGATTATAATAATACGGAAAGTTAATTAATTATTAAAATGATTAAAAATATGTAAATAAAATAGTAGTTCATTTACCATTTTCTGGGCTTTTGTTGTTATCTGGGTTGTCTCAGAAATTTCTTTGATGGCAGCCACAACATCTATTTTAAAAGGTATTAATGAACTAAAAAAACAAATATAAATAACCACAACTTTTTTAATACACGTTACTAACCGACTGTCTGATCTTTCTCATAGTTGATCAAATCAGAAATCTTAACAGGGTCGATCTTTATTTTGATAGGCACAGCTAAATCATCAGCCTTAAAGGAAACTAATATTAGTAACTATTTTTACTAAAAAAACATAGAATCATTATATTTTATTGATTCTAAATAAATACCGGTTCGATAACTGTACTAGCTTCAATAGTGATTTCATAGTCATTTTGAACGTTTGAGAACTGCTTTTTAGCTATATTGACTTTTCCTTTAGAAATATAATATACCTAATTTACAAGAATATTGTTGAAATTATGACGCGATAAATGATTGTAAATGAAACTAACACGAATGATCTCAAACGTACCTTATTCAATTGCAATAAATTTGCGTATTCTTCCGCTTGTTGATTAAAAGCGGTGGCCCTAATTTCTCCCTATTGTGTTAAATTGTAATTGTACTAAATATTTCTTTTATCATTTACCATTTTGCAAATTTAATACTTACGCTATTATCCATTAAAGTTACATTAAATAACTTGCCACTTCCACGTGCATTTGTCCAAGTTCTAAGGTCCGATTTTTGAATAACCATTGCCTTGAGCTTCCACCTTTTTTTTTTATAAAAAAAAAAAATTATAAATCATCAAAATTTATTTATCAAACAAAAATCATTGACATATTCATACTTATTATGATATGGGCTTATATTATCGATGGTACAAATTCCTTCATCCGAATTGTTATTTGAATTTCTTTGAGGGGTGCTAAAATTGATTACATTTAAAAGTAAGTTATCAAAATAAAAACTGATATTAATTAATTCATAAAATGAGTATATTAATTTAATTTTTACCTATCACGATTTAAAACTACTGAATCTTGGCGTTGTTTTAACCTATTGTAATCATGACCATATAACTCCAAAGGTACATCTTTAACCATTTGAAACCCGGTAATAACCAAGAACCTATAGAAATTGAAATTTAATAAACAAGGTTAATTGAATTTGATCAAAATGACTTATATATAAAATAACTTTACTTTGATGTACGGCCAGCCTGGATAGGTCCCGAATTACTAACGGTATAGTTGGTCAATTTGATTATCATACCCCTATCCAGCTTTTTTCCATTACATACGGACTTGATTAAATGATCCGGGATAATGCCTAGAGAAAGGGGAAAGTTAGGAATAATCGAATTTGTCGATATTTACTTTTGACAAATACCTTGAACAATTTCAAACCCATCAGAAAGCCCAATCCTATAGTTTTTGTAATTAAAAAAAAATGTATATGTATATAATTATAAATATATTATGACAAGACTCGTAATTGATAAAGACGCGTTTAAAACGCTAGAAGTTACATAATATTGAAACGAAACGTTGATTAACACGCGATAACAAGTAAACCTAACGCACTAAAACTTACTTATATCTGATAGAACCACCTTGCTCATTAGAATTAGAGCTGCCTGGGTTAACTCTCACTAGCTGGAGCACCGGGCTGCTTGGCTTGGCGGTTTCATTTTCGTCGAGAAGGCTTTGAATGCAACCGAGAGAAATTATACTACCTACGTTCATTTTTAGTCGACCTTTTTTTTTTTTATTTTTTGGGAAAAGGACAAAAAAAGTTTTATGTCATACAAGTTCGCGAAACAAACCTTTATATATCATTTATATTTGGTAATTAATCAGCATTTTATTCGCGACAAAAAAACCGCAGTATTTCGATCAATCATGCCGAGCCCCGGATTTATTTGCCGGAGGTTACCTAATTTGTCAAGGTCAGAAAATAATCCGAAAAAAATGGGTAGCCGGATTTATTTTACGGGCATTTAGTATTAAGGTTAGTATTAGGAAAAGTATTAGGATTATAGTAGGAATAATATTAGGATTAATATTTATGATTAGGGTAGGACTAGTATTAGGATTGGGGGGTAGATTATTATTAGGATTAGGGAAGTATTAGTATTAGGATTAGGATAGGATAACTATTAGGATTAGGTAGAATAAGTATTAGGATTAGGGTAGGAATAATATTAGGATTAGTTAAGATTTGTCACTTCGTGTCACCTCCCGTCACATTCAAGTGTTCTGGGACTGTAAGGTCGCAATTATATGTATCCCTTATAAGTATATGTCCAGGATTATGCTGTAAATTATGTTAAATTATGCGTTTATAATTTTGGTCAAAATTATCAAATTAATTTATAATTTAAAAAGGATTTATTTAATACACCAAAATTGTAAAAACTTTATTTATAAAACAAAACTAATTATATCCTATTAATTTTTACTATTAAATGAAATAAAATTTAAGCCAAATATAAATTAATATATATTAGCTAATGTTAATAAGATATTTTTTTTATCCAATATTTATTTAAATCAGAATTCTTCTTTGAATTAATTATTTTATTAAGATTACTATAAATTTCCTTTTTCTTAAATTAATTTAAATTGAAATTTTAAATTTAGTTATAATAAAATATAATAAAATATTAATTCTTTTTACTTGAAAATGAATATATTTTAGATCAAACTATTAAATAGCTTCAAAATATAATAAAGCTAAATAATTCAAAATATATTTTTTAAATTTTTTAAATGCATTAACAAAAATATCTGTAAAGTAATCAATACTAACTTGTTTTATTTATAATTTTAATTTTATTTCTTTTGATAATAATAAATACATTATTTAAGATTTTAATAATTCATGTGTTTTTTTAGATATGAAATTATATATAGTCAATCCTTTCTAAATGCATCTCTTCAGGAACATAATGAAAATTTAAGAGAAAATTTCTATATGAATTCTATATGCTTGAAACTGAACAAAAACGTGTATTTAGAGAGAAAATATATAGTGTATGCATTTAGAGAAGATGCATTTAGAGAGGGTGAACTGTATCAAGTAATAAGTACTTGCAAATCTTAAAAAATCTAAATCAACTATTAATTTAAAATAAAATTATTTATTTTATTAATAAATATATAAAATTTATTAAAGTAAATAAATAATCATACTTTTACATTAAAATCAATAAATATTTTAAATATTATTATATATGTGATATTATTAAAATAATTATATATATTTTATATTAATTTAATATCATAAATATTATTCTTTTTTAAAAAAAAAAGTTAGCAGAAATAAAATATATTTTTTAATATAAAAATAAAATTAAATCATAAATTTTATATTTTTTAATAGAAAGATAAGTAAAGTAGGTTTAATATATAAATTGGTAAAATAGAAAATTCAATAGCATTTAAATTAAGATAATTAAGTTATTTACTTTTTTATATTAAATAATAATTAAAAGAAGTTTTAATATTTAATATTATATCATTTAATATAATAAAATTTTTAATTTTTAATTCAAATTTTTTCAACTAAATAATAAATATAAATAATTATATTTTATTTGAAATATAATAATAGAAAGATTTTTATATATAAATATTATTATTTAAAATGAATAAAATAACATTTTTAAAAAGAATTAAATAATCATTAAAGATTTTAATAATCAGTTAGGAAATTGTAATATTATTTACTATGATAAGATGATTAGTTATAACTAATTTTGAATAATTTTTAAAATTAGATAAAATATTTATAGCTGATCTTTTATAAGTATTAGTTAATTTATTAGCTATAATATCTATGTTTTTTTTAATAAATTGATTAATAATTGTTTTTTTAAATTAAATACTTTTCTTTTTTTAGTAATAGCATTATCTAAAAATTTATTTATTATTAAAAAAATTATTTATTAAATAATTATATATATTTTAAAAAATATTTAAATAAAATAGAAGTAATTTGTCTACTTTTTCTAATGGAATGTCTAATTATATTAAAATTACAATTAATTTGATCTTTATTAAATAAATTGCTGAATAATTCTAATTAAAATATTTTATAGATTGTTATTATATTTTGTATATTTTTTATATTTTTGATTTAAATAATTGTCAAGTGTACTTTTTCATAGTCAAGAATTTTTTTTTACACAAATAGCAAAAAAAAGTTGATTTTATCTATATAAATATTATCTTTATATTCAGATTTTTTTTGCATATTAAATAAATTAACAATATTTAAATTTGAATAGCTCAGTATACCAGTCTGATACTTATGAAATTTTGATATACTTATATAATATAAATAAAACTAGTATATATATAAAAAACATTATCTTACTTATGTTACTTAAAATTTTTTTCTATTAGCAAAATTTTACTAAGTATAAATTTTTGATATAAATTAATAATTTATGCAAAATTAATTCTTAATTAAAAAATTTTCTAGTATAAAATAATCTTCAAAACATAAGGATTAAAAAATATATAAAATTATAACTGTAATATTTATAATTAAGAAGTTATAGGTTTTTAAACTTAAAAATAATCACTTGCGTTTTTTTGATAGTTACTATATAATATTTAAAATAAATTTAAATTTATTATAAATTTAAATAATAATACTTGACTATAAATAATTTGGATTTTATATTTTATTTTTTATACTAATAGAAATAGTTAAAAAAAAGAAAAAAATGAATTAAAAAAAACATAAAATTTTACTTAATTGAAATTTAAAAAAAAGGAAAATTTGCAAATACAATATTGTTATAAGAAAAAGATAAAAATAAAGTTGAAAATAATTAAAATAAAATAATTAATTTACCTTAATATTTCAAAATAAACTTAAAAGAAAAAATTGTATATATAGTAATCATTAATAATCTTTTTAGGATAAAATTCAATAAACTTATCCTTTTTTTTAAAATAAAAAGTATTTTCTTTTTTTTTATAAAAATAATAGAAGTATCTATTAAAAGAAAAAGTAATAAAAAGTAATGAAGATTAAGATTTTCTATAAATAAAATTTTATTATAGTAAGATCTATTATCTATTATTTTATAAAACTTATCAGTGATTTTCTAAAATCTAATTCTTATTTGATATTCTTAAACTTTTTATTATGTTAAAATAAATAAAATTTAATTTCTGTTTTTATAACTTAATTGATGATTAACATAGATTTGATACTATAGTTGTTTTTTAGAAAAATATATAATTCAAACTTTCAGAAAGTAAAATAAATTAACATATTTTAAAACTTAATCAAAGTATTTATATTTTAGAGATAGAATTACTAGTTAAAATTTCTATTACTATTATAGAATTAGGAATATATGCTTTAGATTATAATAAAAATAAAATTAATTATTATTATCACAAATTTCTTTTAAATATACTGATTAATTATTTTAAATTTATGTTACTTTTATAAGATAATAATATTTAATTCAATATATCTCTTTGAAATATATACATTATATTAAAAACTATTTGTATATAATTTAAATTTTTATAGAAGTAAATAAATTTTAATGCAATTATTTTTAAATAAATGACTAAATAGTAGACTTTACTATTTTGAAAATTTATTATATTATAAAAATATATTTATATCAGACAAAAATAACTTATTATTGGTATTATATGTTACTTTTTTTAAATAGATGTCTATTGTATTTTAGATTTTTTTACTTTTTTTAAAATAGACAATATTAAATTATTCTAAAATTAAGCATTTTTTAAAAATAGTATCTGAAAATAAGCATCTATTTTATAATATTAATTTTTTTATGATTATTAAATATTAATAATTTTATTAATAAATTTATTAAAATTATAATAAAAAAAGAATTATTTCTTATCATAAGCTCAATTTCAAAAAAAAAAATTTTCTAAATTAATTACTTTATACTTGTAAAATGTTGCAATTAATATGTATAAGTTAAGAAAATATATAATTATCTAGCTTACATATCATGCATTTTTATTTCAAACTTCTTGTCTTTATTTTCTTTATTAGAGTCTTGAATAATTTTATTAATATTATCTTTATTTTTTAACTTATTTAAAGAATTTGATATTTTATATTTTTTAAAAAATTGGATAATTACATCATTTGAAATATTATTTCATGATTGTTTTATATATTTACAAATATTATTTAGCTTAACACATCACATATTTTTAGTAGCAGTTTTCTAATATTACTATTAGATATCTAAATATACTATTTCTTACAAAAATTATTTTTAAATAGTTTATTAATCATAATATTAAATAGTTAGTATACACTGATTAATTCACCTAGAATAATAACTAAATCAATATCATTATCACAAATTTTTTTTTTAACAGATTCTTCTAATATTCTCTAAAAGAATCATATACTATTATTATTAAATCACTGTTGATTCTTAATTTATTAATATAATTAATATACTTATTTATAAGATTGATATCTATCTATTTATTTTTATGAAACTAATAACAATATCAGCTAAAATTAAATCACATTCATTACGTGATAATTTCTTTCATTTAAAAATGCAGATCAGTAAAAATTTTGTTCTATCTATAATAAAAAATAAAGATTTAGTAAATTAAGCTTTATAAAATTATTAATAATCATAAAAATGATTTTTACCTACAATATATATTAAAATAACTGTAAATCTGTTTTTTTATTATCAGTTCTATAATAT